AATGACGTTAGCTGCAGATTGATTTGACTTCATGTGTCAATACGCATGAGGGGAAGACCTTGACAACCGTTCAGTGAAGTTTATTGATAGCATTCAAACCTTTGGGAAAATATTGGCCTTGATATATACATCACAATAGGTTTTTGGTTACGCTCAAGTTGAGGCTTGTGTTATTCATGTTCCAGGGTTCTGTTAATTTTAAATTGATGTTATTATGGAGAAGTGATTTTTGGTATGGCTCCTATTGATTTATCCATGTTCTTGGCCTATAGATACACACATGTGCTCCTGACCTGCTTACTTAGACTTTACACAAGGCCCTGTGTCAGGATTACAAAGTTGTGAAAAAAGAGGCTAAGCACACAAAAGCAGCAAATACTTAAACTAGGCAAAGGCCAGGTAAATGTTTGGTACGGTGTACAGTACAGTCTGTTATGCTGAATAACTGGAGTTGTTCAAAAATCAATTTTCAATTCTCTGTTGTTTTTCTTTTGACATCAAGTATGTTTATTTCCACCTTTGTTTACCCCTTTGAAAATGGTTGGAAAAAATCATAATGCAAAAGCTGAATGACAAAAATTGAATTGAAACTTAGAAATGTATTGCTGTTGCCTGCAGAAGTCATTAGATACTGAGCATTCCTAACAGAGATATACCTACAGGGTTTTACTCTTAGCACATGCACTTCAATAAGTAGACAGTTTTGCAAAACTTTATATCTTTGGTTTTTTGCAGAAAAGGCATCTGTTTTACTTAGTAGATGAGGAATATGAATTGCTGAGTCACATCTTGTCCATTCAAATTACTACAGTTCACAGTGCTCTGGGGCAGAGACAACATGGGCAGTGCCTGCAGTACAGCTGACACCATCACACCAGAGGAGAAGAGAAAGCAACCAATTGAGTAAGACTTCTTTTCCTCACTGTATAATAATAAGTTGAACTTTACAAAACAAGTGACATGTTGAGATTCATTAATTGGTTAATTATGATTACTATGTGAATATTTGTTTTCCTTTTTTAACAATGTTCAAGTTGTTTGGTGTGATGTTGTAGAATTGCATTTTAAAGTGGTGTGACTAGATTTGTGTATACATGAGTAATCCAGTTGATATTCTTTTATGTATCTTCAAATGTGTTAACTGATATTTGTAGATAATTCCTTTAGAGTCAGTCATTGGAATGGGGGAGGGGGGTTTGAAGGGGGTAGTGGGGGGAGTATTGAAGCAAGAAGCTGCCAAGCAAGCTTAAAAGCAGATCTAGAGATAGTAAAGCCACAGCAGGTTTGTGAAATAGCCTGAATACTGGATACTCACCCAGTTTGCTGAGTTGTTATTTGATTTTTAAATTTTAATCCACCTCAGGCCCGTAGCCAGGGGGGTTAGGGGGTTTGAAAGACCCCCCCCCCTTTTTTTTTTTTTTGCTGGGAAAAGGTCCCTCTGGGTAAAATTTTATCTATGTGATATTGGTATGTGAAGGTTTCATGGTAAAAGCCCCACTTTTTCAGAAAAAGACTCCCCCCCTCCCTTTTGAAATTGTACCTCAATTTTTGTGTCTTTTTGTTTATCTCCAGTGTAATCCCTTTAGTATTTGCTTTGCCTTATTTGAACCAGTTTATCTGTGAACTAAATTTTAAGAATATTGATCTTAGCCTTTATAACCTATCATTCAGTATAGTGCAGCACTCAATGCGTTCAAAGTGGACAGTTAATCTGAAAAAGTAAAAGCAAGAAATAAATAAAATGAACCTCATTTCCAATTTAATTCCAACAGGAAGAGGTTGACTGCCATTGTTTGTCTCAGGTGGAAACCATGACTTTGCAGATTTTTTGTATAAACTTTTTTTAAAGCTGATGTCATAAGATCCCACATGCTTTCCAAAAAGTAAGCCAAGTTTCTATGGTGCTGATCATTTAAGATAGACATAAAAGCAGTCAGTTATCTCAGTTTGGAATACACAACTGACGCTGTAGGTTTGCTTACACTCTGAAATCACAAGGTCAGCACAGATATCTGGGTTAAGGTATAGCATCCAAAATATCCTCATTGTCTCAATGCCAGAACTCTGGGGCAGTCATGTAAGTAACCTGTGCACAACATCATCCAAGCATCACAGTTTAATAGATTGTTTAAGCCTGAGACATGTCTGACTAGGGACTAGGTTCAGTACATTGAGAAAAGTTTAGTTCTCTTCATCCTTTCCTTCTTCTTATGCACCTTCAGCCTTAATACATAGCACTTGGTGTCCTTTTCAGAACATTTTGAAAGTTATCTTGATAAGTTTTGATAGTAGTTGAGTATCGTGCTATTTCCATTAATTTTAGGTCTAAGGAAAATAAGTCAGCAGGTTCCAATGGCAGTGCAGCAAAAGGTGGAATCTCCTCTAAAGACAACTCAAAATCTGACAAATCAAGTGGACCAACGAGAGTGAAACATGTTTGTATTCCTGATGATCGAAAGTTGCCAGCAATAGAAAAATTGGAAGATGGGATTCGTCCACTGATCTATGGGATTTTACAAACGGAAAATGGACAGAAAATCAAAGTATTGAAAAGGCACATACGGATTTATCATAGTGCTTGTCTAACAGGTAAGATATATATATATATGTATTATATATGGAGAGAGCAAGAGAGAGAGAGAGAGAGAGAGAGTCTGAAAATTTGTTCCAAGTTCTTTCAGCCCTACTGGGCCTCTTCAGGGTTTATTTGGCTATGGATGTGATTATGACATCATAGTTGTGAGTTGTCACGTCATAGTTGTGACGTCACAACCACATTTGGATAAACAATAAGATTGATTGTTGAATACAAGTGCACTATATCATATTCAATTTTGACTCAGATAATTTAACAAATTTTCTTCTGAAGTTCTCCATTAAGCTTCTACACCTAGATAGTTCTGATAGCAGGGGAAATTTTGAAATTTCTATATATTATTTTATCAGAAGTGAATCTGTGACTGCCAATGATAAGATTATGATTTTAGTATAGTCTGTAGTTAAGAAATGTCCACCCAAATGGTGCTACATTTAACAACATCAATGCTCAGTCATTCATTGAAGAACAAAATATGGCATTGACACCTATTAACTTGATGTTGTTCATGAAATACTCATAAGTCTGTGTACTGTAACTGAGGTCACTGGTGTGAGATGGTCTCTATGGCACTGCCTACTGATAATATTAACAACCATTAGCTGACAAACTCAGTGCTAGCAGCAATGGGATATTGGGTTTGCTTGAAATGTTTGCTTACTGATCCTGCTTTATGTATTTAGGTTTTACATGGTGTGACTTGGATAAACAAACATTCCCAATGTCAACATATTTAATGTTTGGTTTTTAGCGACCCGAGAACGGTTATGATCCACAGGGTAGTTTATAGTCACAGTAAAAAGACAGTTTTGTTGTAGTTTTGCAAGTCTCTTGGATTCACCAGTTTTTACTGGTCTGGAATGATGATCAAGGATGGTTACATCAAAGTTATGATTGACATGAAATGAAGTGAATTCTGGAGATAAGATTTAGAGTTGAAAAAGTGCTATCATTTTCCATTTTGCTGGTTTTCTGCATACACACTAAACATTTCTTTAAACTGTCCTGATAGAGACATCATATAAAGTTTGATGACAGTTTTTCTTAATTTTCACACAGTTTTTCTTTATTTAATTTTGGAAAGTCATTTTGAGAACAGTATTACATGAATATGTTATTGATTTTTTAATGAAAATGAGCTAAAAAGTTATTGTTTGTGTTAGGTATTCTTTATGCTGTCCTTTTGAGTTTGATATACATTATTTGCCTAGGATACCTACTGTACCTGTAACCCCAAAATTAAACAAATGACCCTAATAGCTGTACATTTCCTAAAAGTTTTGGACACATGGTATATTATACCATAGGGTGTTCTATGGTATGAACCCAATTTTTTGTCTGAGTAACATGAAATCTGCCAGCAGAGGGCCACAGAAACCACCAGGACTAGTAGACATATTGAGCTTTTTAGTCAATAGTCCCAGATATCAGGACAGACAAGGAATACATGCTGGGGGGACTACTTTAAAAATCTTTTTAACTATCTTTTATATATGCTGTGTGATTTTTATGTATTTCATTTTATTCCATCTCATTCTAACTTATTGATTTTATTGGTTTGTTTTTCTGTCCATCTTTTAAAGGTAGTTGTATAAAAAAAATAAATAAAATATTGGCATAACTAGTAGTATAAAATAAAGTTTAGAGTGGCAGTTATCTCTTCTGTTTCCTTTCCCTCTGTAGACTCCATCCATGAGCGGCAGATGCTGTTCACCCAAGTGTATCCCAAACTGAGGCTGCTGTGTGCCGAGCAAGGATTTGACCTCAATGTGGTGGACCTTCACTGTGGTCTGAAAACAGAACAGCTGAATGACCACAGTCTCCGGAATGCATGTCAGAAGCACATGGCCTCTTGCTTTGAGAGAGCTGCTGTACCAGCTTTTGTGGTGAGTTCTATAAACTAATTTCAGTACCATATTTGAATTAATTATCACAGAGTTTGATATTTAAACACATATTAATATTTACAAAATTCAATTTGTTGTTAATTTTAAAAGGTTAATTTTGGTGTATTTTCTAGTTATTCCTAAACGATAAGTGTGGCACTGCTGTCTGCCCGCCAGCCATACCAGCTGATGACTTTGAAGCCATACAGAGTGGAGTAGGGAATGAAGCAGACATGAACCTTTTGAAAAGGTAAAGCATTTTCAAAAGCACTTGACATTTATATGTGTAAACTTTCAGAATGAAAGTGTCTTTTTTGCATTGTTTTTAAACTTTATTTTAAGTAATCAAGGATACAGAAAATTGTATCTAGAGCTCTAATTTGCCATTGGTCTTTGGCATTTTATGATTATGAACAAAAATTTAGATTTAGGAATTTTTCATTTTTATTTTCATGTAAGGTGGTATCTGAGAGATGAGAATGCCAAGCCACCACAATATGTTCTTCAGCCTGTTACAACACACATCCAGAACTACAATGACTCTATACAGGACGCAGAGACTGGGAATGGATAGGTGTAGTCGAGAGAATTGTGCTGATTCTGAGGCATGCTATGCCAGTTGACCTACAGGATGTTTATCTTACTTCAGGTCAGGGAATTATTGTTTTTTAAATTAATTTTGTTTGTTTGTCTGTTGCAATTGTATGTGATAAATTCAAATAAAATGTTATACAGTTGTGAAGATTGCACTGAAAACAATAAACATGGAAATTCTCTATCTTCTGACAGTAAATTACCTTATAAGTTTAGCACTAATTATACAAAATACAATAAATTAAATTTTATTTTTACAGTTCTTGAAGATGAGATTGAAAACTTTGTGATGAAACCAGGAGTTAATAACCCTGTGGTGTACATCAACCGAAGTTTTGTCACCCAGCCTCAGAATCCACAACAACCCCAGGCCAGGGACTACTTTGATCTCCTTAGCAACCAGCTGGACTCCAAGGCTAAGAGCAAAGTGGACTCCTTGGCCTCCAAACTGGACAGTAGATGTACAGAAAAGGTACATTTACATTTAAGTCTTGGGTTGCTGTTATATATTATCTATTGTGTTTGTTATACATGTGAAATCCTGATATCAAAACCTTCACTTTCTGCTGTTTTTAGATATTTTTTTGAGTACTACTTTTAAAAAACATTACAGGTCACTTCTTTTTACGTGTACCCATTTGTTAATAAATTATAAATAAATATTGCATTCCAGAGCAGTGGAGCAGTGCAGGACTGGCAACAATAAAGTCATGTTTAAAATGTACATTAGCACTGGTGCAACTGCTTCTGTTACATTTGGTGAAAACTAACTGTGAACCAACTTTTATATAATTTTACACATTTAATACTGAAAATTAATGTAGAACAAGGAGAGTCATATTCATATGGCCAATTGCAGAAAAGAAGAAAACTTGAAGTGAGCCATGATTACTTTTGTTCCAGCTTCAAATGTCCCTGTCCTGGTGTGATGAGACTGGTTTCAGCCCCAGAAGTAATCCTGAACATGTGAAGTACCTGGACTCTCTGTGTGAGCAGTACTATGGCAAGATGAAAGTCCTGCTTGAGTCATCCATGAAACAGGTTTTAGTTCAGGCAGAGAACTTTAGGCAAAAAGGTAAACCGTTTAATTTTTTTGTTACAAACTGCAATTTTGAAGCATTATAGTTTAATCAGATAGTGGGTTTATTAATTTTCTCACTTATTATGAACAGAACTGATCCTTTATAATTATACATTTAGTAGTAATATCTGATAGTTTGGTTCATGTTATAGCGTATGGTTTGGGTGAGAAATACAATAAAAAATGAGATGTTTTTAAATTGTAAGCAACAAATTTTATAGTAGCTTTTTATTTAACATTCACTTCATCCATGGTTGAGAGAAAGGTTAGTTGGTTCATTCTCATAGCTTCATTATTTATATGAAAGCAGGTTGGCATTAGAAACTATATATTCCTGTTTACTAAAATGTAAATTTAAAAAAGATCATTTGTAACTTACATGTAATTCTTTATTTTTCAGGAGTGAGTTCTAATCTCCATGAAGAGCTTGTTAACCTCTTCAAACACATCTTTATCAAGAACTCATTCAAGTTTTTTGGTGGAAGAGAAGCTATCTTGAAGAAGATTGAAAGCTACATTGCCAGTGGCCACACAGGTCAGAGTGACACTGCAGTCAGGCCGTTACTGTTAACTGGGTCACATGGAAGCGGCGCCAGTGGGATCTGCATCCTGACCAATGGGATAGTGCATACCGTCCCAGGCTGGGAGGGCAGTGTCTGTGTACTGAGGATTCTTAAGTTGTCCACTCGTGCCAGAACTGTGGAGACCATGCTTCACTGTATCCTGGAGCAAGTTTGTCTGGCATATGATCTACCTATGTCATATGCTACCAGGGTAAGTGGAGGGGAGATTGGAAAAGAGGTGATAGATGGTTGTTTGAAAAAGAGACTACCACACACACAAACATGTCACAGTTATTATGCAGATTGGGTGGCATTTGGATTTTGCCTTGGTCACTTTTTGATTTTTGATGGTGAGATTGCTAATGGAATATCACCTGAACTAACTGCAAACCAGATTGTACAACACACTTAACTACCTGTGAGTTGGGAATCTTCCATATTGAGAAAATTTATTTAGGATGAAAGGACATAGCTACGGAAAAAAACAGCCCATCTTTTATATTATGAATAATTTCATACAAAATAGATGATTAGAATAAAGATTAAAAATGGACTTGAATACTGCTGCTCTTTTTAGATTCACCAGTTGCAAGTTGCTGTCCATATTGTGTCTATTTATCTTTTTTTTAAATTTTGTTTTGTATTTGATTTGATCGTTGTATCAAGTCTTAAAAGAAATATTGCTTTTAAATATAATATTTTCTGTCTATAAGCTCTTCAACAAAGTCACAGTTTTAAAAACATTTTTCACATCACAAACAAGAATTTGTTAATAGGGAGGAGAGTCAGTTAAAATATTTTGTCACTTTATAGACTCTAACATAACTGTTTGGTGAAAAGAAGCATTACATTTTTAATATATTTAAATAATGGTTCCAGAATTAACAATCATTAATATAAGTGTACCTAGTGCAATATGATATTTAAAGATGTCTGAAGTTTAATTTAGGTTAGAAAGTACATCCAGTAATGACTTGTAAGCTATTTCACTGAAGTACTTTTATATTTTGAAATTTTTATTGCAGAGTCTTAAAGAACAACAGAAGCTATTTTACAATATTCTGGAGAAAGTCACTGCAAAGAACCCTCTGATCATCATCATGGACGGTCTGCAGGATCTTATCCCTACACCTGGAGGCCAAGTTGAATGGATACCTGCTGAGCTGCCACCTAATGTTAGGATTATTGTCACAGCAACAGAGGATGGTTTGCAGAAAATGAAAGTGAGCAAACAAACTCAAATTGAGTTTTATACAAAAAAGATATACATAATTTTATCACATTTATTTCCAGAAATGAAATGTTGTCAGCAACTTTTTTTCCCTTGGTAAAAAATTCAAAGTCCGATATGCTTGATCACATGAATTTGTTGCACTGCTAACAAGTCTTGCATGTAAAAAAACAGCAATCAGATTTAAAACATTTGTGAAAATATTGCACGTTTTGTGTCATTTTTTATAGATTTAACAATTTTATTTCAGCTTCCAAGTTCAACTCACTCTCTGAGCATTCCACCATTCACAAAGGAGGAGGGCGAATTCTTACTTAATCGCATCCTAGAACTTCATAGTCGCACTCTCACCCCCTCACAGAGAGGAGAAGTAATCTCAGCTATAGAGAGGTGCCCATCCCCTATATATGCTGTGACCCTCTCCGCCATGGCCAGCCACTGGCACAGCTACACCTCAGATATGCAGAACAGAATCAAAGGTTCCACAGAGGAGCAGTTTGGTTTGCTTCTGGACGAGATGGATGAGAAGTATGGAGTTGACTGTGTTAAGCAAATCCTGGGTTACTTCAGCTGTGCCAAAACTGGCCTAACTGACAATGAGCTGATAGACTTGGTGTTGTGTGATAAGGTGATAATGAACAAGTTGGATGGAGATGCCTTCGCAGCTCGCTCTGTCTGGAACAGGCTCTGCATCGACATCGAGTACCTCCTGATGTATAGGATGGTCTATGGACTTATAACTTTCCAATGGAAGCACTCTGTTTTTGCTGATTGTGTCATGAAGAGATATTTTCCCAAGGCAGAAGATATCCAGGCGGTTCATAGGCTGCTGATGCAGTACTACGAAGGCAATTTGAAGCTTAATGTCTCACTGGGATCCACCATACCTCAGCCAATCAAATTTGGAAACACATTCAACCTACGGAAACTGACAGAACTTCCATATCAGATGGTGAAATCAGGCTGTGTGGAGAAGGTGAAAACCCAATGTTTGCTCAACCTGGAGTTCTTAATGGCTAAGATGGAAAGTGTCGGAGTTGATGGGGTCATAGAGGATGTTGCCATGGCAGTCCAGATCAACCCCAATGACCAGGAGTTACAGCAGCTATATCAGTTGCTGCAGATGTCGGCTTTTGCTCTGAGTTTGGACCCCAGTAGGTTATGGATGCAATTCACAAGTCATGTGGGAAAAGCGTCACTCTGTCCACCAATACAACAGCTGTGTGATGAAAGCAAATCTGTGATCCATGATGAAGGATGGTTTGAGACTAAATCACCTGTCAGTCATGTCTTGGACCAAATGCCATCTGATGACAAAGTTGGCCAAGCCCTTGTTACTGGCATTTTTAAGCTAAAAACTGACCCAGCACATGTTGTAACTGTTTCCACCAGCCAAAAGAAGGTCCAGGTGTGGAACTTGACCTCTGGTAAAGCTGTGAGGACACTTATAAATATCCCTCAGCCAAGAAATGTCCGCATGGTTGACGACTACAGAGCTGTTGTGCTTTGTAACCGGGAATTGAAGGTGTTTGACTTGAACCAGGGCACCTTGCTGTCAGAATTAAAAGGTGTCCTGAATGTTGAACGACCTTATTTTGAAATCATGGATGAAAATTATGCTGTGACTTTATCCAGGAACAGAATGTATGTGAACATCATGGAACTGGAGACTGGAAGCCAGGAGTCCACTTTCAAAGTGGGTGAGGACCGTTTCCTCGACAGCCTCTTTGTCAGTGCCGATGGCCAGATGTGTGTTTGTGGAGATGAGGTCCAGAAGCCATTTCCGCTGCTCGTGTGGGATTTGCCTAACAAAAAGCTGATCCATGATATGCGCATCCCTAACCATGAGTTCCTTACCAGCATGGCAGCCATTTCTCATGATGGGCAGTACGTGGTGTCAGTGTGCAAGGTAAGGTGGAGCTGATTTTGATCCCAAGTTTAGATGTGTTCAGATTAGTACATCATATTACTATTTAAACTTTACTTGAGTCATTGATATTTGACTCAATATGTAAAGGAATTTAAAACTGTAAATGAGCAAAAATGTTCATTAGCTTGGTAGTTTTTAATTTTTAGTTGGTAATTTAACACTGATTTTATCCTTCCTTTTTCTCTTAGGAGGTTGATGACCCTGCTCCAAACTTCCTGACCATCTATGACCTTCAGAGCGGTCAGATGTACAAAAAGTGGACACCAGAGGTCAGCACCTGTGCAGTGGCCATTTCGTCTGCTGGTCACTGTGTGGTCAACTGCCTGGAGACGGGGACCCTGATGGTCTGGGACCTGGTAGCTGGAGGGTTAAGGTATAGCATGGGTTCAGGAAAGGAAAGGACACAAGATAAATATTTTTTTGTTTTAGTGTACTTGATATTTACATGCCTATCTGACATACACAGAGCAGCAGTTGAAGTAAAGAGTCACACACTGTGTTTGTTTCAAAGTGAAATCAGTGCAAAATATAAAAAGTCCAAATGCAGTGATAGCATTTTATGTAAGTGTCAGGCATGAGTTTTCCAGTTGTATATTTGTCAAAACAGACGCAGATCTAGCATGATATGTTCTGTAATTCCAGACATGAGCTGTCAGGACATAGACAAGGTGTGGACCGTATCCTCATTAGTGACAGTGGGACCAGATGTGTCAGCTACTCCACCAACAATATAGATCAGACAGTCAAATTGTGGGATTTGACCAAAGGTTAGTGGATTTTATTTTATAAATAGGATGATAATTTGCTTGTTTTTNGAGTTTGGACCCCAGTAGGTTATGGATGCAATTCACAAGTCGTGTGGGAAAAGCGTCACTCTGTCCACCAATACAACAGCTGTGTGATGAAAGCAAATCTGTGATCCATGATGAAGGATGGTTTGAGACTAAATCACCTGTCAGTCATGTCTTGGACCAAATGCCATCTGATGAAAAAGTTGGCCAAGCCCTTGTTACTGGCATTTTTAAGCTAAAAACTGACCCAGCACATGTTGTAACTGTTTCCACCAGCCAAAAGAAGGTCCAGGTGTGGAACTTGACCTCTGGTAAAGCTGTGAGGACACTTATGAATATCCCTCAGCCAAGAAATGTCCGCATGGTTGACGACTACAGAGCTGTTGTGCTTTGTAACCGGGAATTGAAGGTGTTTGACTTGAACCAGGGCACCTTGCTGTCAGAATTAAAAGGTGTTCTGAATGTTGAACGACCTTATTTTGAAATCATGGATGAAAATCATGCTGTGACTTTATCCAGGAACAGAATGTATGTGAACATCATGGAACTGGAGACTGGAAGCCAGGAGTCCACTTTCAAAGTGGGTGAGGACCGTTTCCTCGACAGCCTCTTTGTCAGTGCCGATGGCCAGATGTGTGTTTGTGGAGATGAGGTCCAGAAGCCATTTCCGCTGCTCGTGTGGGATTTGCCTAACAAAAAGCTGATCCATGATATGCGCATCCCTAACCATGAGTTCCTTACCAGCATGGCAGCCATTTCTCATGATGGGCAGTACGTGGTGTCAGTGTGCAAGGTAAGGTGGAGCTGATTTTGATCCCAAGTTTAGATGTGTTCAGATTAGTACATCATATTACTATTTAAACTTTACTTGAGTCATTGATATTTGACTCAATATGTAAAGGAATTTAAAACTGTAAATGAGCAAAAATGTTCATTAGCTTGGTAGTTTTTAATTTTTAGTTGGTAATTTAACACTGATTTTATCCTTCCTTTTTCTCTTAGGAGGTTGATGACCCTGCTCCAAACTTCCTGACCATCTATGACCTTCAGAGCGGTCAGATGTACAAAAAGTGGACACCAGAGGTCAGCACCTGTGCAGTGGCCATTTCGTCTGCTGGTCACTGTGTGGTCAACTGCCTGGAGACGGGGACCCTGATGGTCTGGGACCTGGTAGCTGGAGGGTTAAGGTATAGCATGGGTTCAGGAAAGGAAAGGACACAAGATAAATATTTTTTTGTTTTAGTGTACTTGATATTTACATGCCTATCTGACATACACAGAGCAGCAGTTGAAGTAAAGAGTCACACACTGTGTTTGCTTCAAAGTGAAATCAGTGCAAAATATAAAAAGTCCAAATGCAGTGATAGCATTTTATGTAAGTGTCAGGCATGAGTTTTCCAGTTGTATATTTGTCAAAACAGACGCAGATCTAGCATGATATGTTCTGTAATTCCAGACATGAGCTGTCAGGACATAGACAAGGTGTGGACCGTATCCTCATTAGTGACAGTGGGACCAGATGTGTCAGCTACTCCACCAACAATATAGACCAGACAGTCAAATTGTGGGATTTGACCAAAGGTTAGTGGATTTTATTTTATAAATAGGATGATAATTTGCTTGTTTTTTATTCACTTTGTTGATTTATTCCATTTCCATTTTTTTCTTTTTAAAATTTGTTTTTAATGAACAGAATTATATGAATGATATAGTAATATATCAATGAGTGTTACATTTAGATCAGTATGTACCTGGTACTGTTGGTTATGGCTGTGGTATGTCTATACACTGCATTTTTATCCCCTGTTACATTTTTGATATGTAAGGAGTTCTAATGTTCCTGTTCCAGGAGCATGCCTTGCTAGTTTCACCTCAGATGTTCCACTGACCAGCTGTGAGTTGAGTATGGATGGCAATGCAGTCATTCTTGGGCTGGAAGGAAGAGAGGACATTGTAGTACTACAGCTCTGCTTGAAGGAAGGAGGTTTGCAGATGATCACAGATGGCAGCTATGGGGATGACTCTTTGAAAGACAAGGAGTTTGATCCAATGGCAAAATAGAGTGCATTTGTTAGCTTGTGACAAACACAGCCACTCTGGATGAGACAGGGAATATGTAGTAGTGTCTGTGTATGGAATTAAACTAGAAGTGCATAAAAGTCAGGTATTTGTAACACCCAGAACTATTGTAAAACCAAAGAGATTTATCACTATGCATAACAGTATTAGATGTAAGTCTAAGTCACGTGAATATAGAAGATTTTTTTTATATTATTATTTTATTAATATATTTTTCTCAAAGCTCTTAGTATCTTTCAAAAATTATATGTATTTGATCTATATATGTTTATCTGTAAGCAACTTAAATATTTGTATNATGTGGGAAAAGCGTCACTCTGTCCACCAATACAACAGCTGTGTGATGAAAGCAAATCTGTGATCCATGATGAAGGATGGTTTGAGACTAAATCACCTGTCAGTCATGTCTTGGACCAAATGCCATCTGATGACAAAGTTGGCCAAGCCCTTGTTACTGGCATTTTTAAGCTAAAAACTGACCCAGCACATGTTGTAACTGTTTCCACCAGCCAAAAGAAGGTCCAGGTGTGGAACTTGACCTCTGGTAAAGCTGTGAGGACACTTATAAATATCCCTCAGCCAAGAAATGTCCGCATGGTTGACGACTACAGAGCTGTTGTGCTTTGTAACCGGGAATTGAAGGTGTTTGACTTGAACCAGGGCACCTTGCTGTCAGAATTAAAAGGTGTCCTGAATGTTGAACGACCTTATTTTGAAATCATGGATGAAAATTATGCTGTGACTTTATCCAGGAACAGAATGTATGTGAACATCATGGAACTGGAGACTGGAAGCCAGGAGTCCACTTTCAAAGTGGGTGAGGACCGTTTCCTCGACAGCCTCTTTGTCAGTGCCGATGGCCAGATGTGTGTTTGTGGAGATGAGGTCCAGAAGCCATTTCCGCTGCTTGTGTGGGATTTGCCTAACAAAAAGCTGATCCATGATATGCGCATCCCTAACCATGAGTTCCTTACCAGCATGGCAGCCATTTCTCATGACGGGCAGTACGTGGTGTCAGTGTGCAAGGTAAGGTGGAGTGGATATTGATCCCAAGTTTAGATGTGTTCAGATTAGTACATCATAATACTATTTAAACTTTACTTGAGTAATTAATATTTGACTCAATATGTAAAGGAATTTAAAACTGTAAATGAGCAAAAATGTTCATAAGCTTGGCAGTGTTTAATTTTAATTGGTAATTTAACACTGATTTTATCCTTTCTTTTTCTCTTAGGAGGTTGATGACCCTGCTCCAAACTTCCTGACCATCTATGACCTTCAGAGCGGTCAGATGTACAAAAAGTGGACACCAGAGGTCAGCACCTGTGCAGTGGCCATTTCGTCTGCTGGTCACTGTGTGGTCAACTGCCTGGAGACGGGGACCCTGATGGTCTGGGACCTGGTAGCTGGAGGGTTAAGGTATAGCATGGGTTCAGGAAAGGAATGGACACAAGATAAATATTTTTTTGTTTTAGTGTACTTGATATTTACATGCCTATCTGACATACACAGAGCAGCAGTTGAAGTAAAGAGTCACACACTGTGTTTGTTTCAAAGTGAAATCAGTGCAAAATATAATAAGTCCAAATGCAGTGATAGCATTTTATGTAAGTGTCAGGCATGAGTTTTCCAGTTGTATATTTGTCAAAACAGACGCAGATCTAGCATGATATGTTCTGTAATTCCAGACATGAGCTGTCAGGACATAGACAAGGTGTGGACCGTATCCTCATTAGTGACAGTGGGACCAGATGTGTCAGCTACTCCACCAACAATATAGATCAGACAGTCAAATTGTGGGATTTGACCAAAGGTTAGTGGATTTTATTTTATAAATAGGATGATAATTTGCTTGTTTTTATTCACTTTGTTGATTTATTCCATTTCCATTTTTTTCTTTTTAAAATTTGTTTTTAATGAACAGAATTATATGAATGATATAGTAATATATCAATGAGTGTTACATTTAGATCAGTATGTACCTGGTACTGTTGGTTATGGCTGTGGTATGTCTATACAGTGCATTTTTATCCCCTGTTACATTTTTGATATGTAAGGAGTTCTAATGTTCCTGTTCCAGGAGCATGCCTTGCTAGTTTCACCTCAGATGTGCCACTGACCAGCTGTGAGTTAAGTATGGATGGCAATGCAGTCATTCTTGGGCTGGAAGGAAGAGAGGACATTTTAGTACTACAGCTCTGCTTGAAGGAAGGAGGTTTGCAGATGATCACAGATGGCAGCTATGGGGATGACTCTTTGAAAGACAAGGAGTTTGATCCAATGGCAAAATAGAGTGCATTTGTTAGCTTGTGACAAACACAGCCACTCTGGATGAGACAGGGAATTTGTAGTAGTGTCTGTGTATGGAATTAAACTAGAAGTGCATAAAAGTCAGGTATTTGTAACACCCAGAACTATTGTAAAACCAAAGAGATTTATCACTATGCATAACAGTATTAGATGTAAGTCTAAGTCACGTGAATATAGAAGATTTTTTTATATTATTATTTTATTAATATATTTTTCTCAAAGCTCTTAGTATCTTTCAAAAATTATATGTATTTGATCTATATATGTTTATCTGTAAGCAACTTAAATATTTTTATTTTATTGGATATAAATATCTGCAATATAGCAGTTCATAAAGATTAACTCTTAAGTTTTAGAACTATTTCAACAGTCATCCATGTTTTGTCCTTGCTTGTATGTACATTTTACTCTGTCAGCTGAATTTTATGTAGGGGAATTTGTACACCAAGGATTAGAGACAGTGTTTACTAATGACCTTGAATCCAAAGTTTCAGCCATAAGTGTTGTTAAGCCATCATTGTTTTCATTTGCCATGTTCTGATAAAGCAATCATATACAGAAATGTCATCAGTGTCTATGTTTGTTATGCTATAATAAAACAGTGGCATAAAGAAATAATTAAAGAAACAAAAAAGCTCTGTTGCATCAGCATCATGATTAATAATCAAAATTTAAATCCTTGACTCAGTCTTATAATATTACATGTATATGATATGAAGACTTTGTTTTAGATATAAATTATATGTACCAGAGTATGATTTTCTACTTGTGCCACTCTGAATATAATTATAACTTCAATACCAGAATATAATTATAACTTCAAAGTTTATAAGAAAACAATATTTCCAACTTTGACAATCAGCTGTAGAGAATTTAAAAAGGAAATTGTGACGCTTATAAACTTATTCTTGTGATTTGTAAATGATGAAAGACAGTTTAGTCATATTTTAAATCTTTTATTTGTATACCTCTTGTACATAATTGAAATGATTGTATCAGTTATTTTTGTAAACAACATGTAAACAGGTTATTTTCCCCCAAAAAAAGTACCTCTTTACATGAAATACAATTAACATATTGACAACTGATATTTGATATCTATATGTATATGACATTGGACAATCAGTGTCTATTTTGTAATAGTATGTTATCGTTGTGCAAAATAATGATAAAATGCCAAATGAACATTTTGTATAAATATCTTTTTCCATCAAGACTTGTCAGATGTTTGATAATTCCTAATGCTTGTTTATGATTCAGAAATACAAATGCTTAATGAAGTACTGCTGCATTTTCGTTGGACTTGACGAGTCACCCCATGTATAAAACCTGTCATATAATATAAAGTTGTGAGGCTTGCCATGAAATGGAACAGAAAATAAAGAAAATGTACAGTATTTATATGTGAGTTAAATGTACAGTATTTATATGTGAGTTACACACAGCTTATTTACTTCTACCTTTGAACTGTGCTTTCTTATAGTAGAATGAGAAAAATACAAAAAAATGTTCTGCATATTAAATAATAGTTTTAAATGGGGGACAAATATCAAACTTAGATTTTTATGTATAAGTACCTAAAACTGATTTTTGGTACAAATGAACCTTTTGGTTTATTTCAAAATTATAAATTTTTCATGAGCAGAAAAGATGTGTCTAGACATTTAGCCATCACCTGCAGCCATCTTTGCTGATGCCATGCAATTTCATGATATTTTTACTCATAAACTCATACACACCATAAAAGACAAAAAGTTTACATAATATACTCCTGACATGAACAATTCACTGGCCCCCAAAACTTCCCAAGTACAAAAATATGGATGAATTGTATTACTCTTCTTGAAGTTCTGAAGTTTTTTTATGAATGTGTCATTTTCACACATTTTTCGTTTTTAAAGTGTGGTTTTTAATTCTAACAGATTTTGCAACCCCTTGCTGTTTACATTTTCTGAATGTTGTGCTTGTTTTAAAACTAGTGGTGATTATGCCATGCAGAGTGATGTAATACTTGTGGCATTTGTACATTTTCATCATGAAATTGGTTGTTTGTCATTTTAGAAGGTTTTAACACCACTGCTTCTTTCGGTTTTGTCTTGTATATGTCTGTTCGTTCATGTTATAACTGTGGACAAACTGTTTCACATTGTGTTAGTTGCGACATAGACGCCCAGATTGCTCTGGTCGCAATGGCGTTAACATGTTAGTAAACAGAATTGCGCACCCCGCTTCATAATCTGGACATAGGGGCCAAACGATTAGTTGTGTCATAACAGCTATAAAATAACACTTCTTTTTGATCTTGAAAAAAATCCCCTTTGAAATAAATTGGAACACCGGCCTTACATGCATGTGTTTCTCGAGGTGAAATATTTTCCAACAATCCAAAACTGGCAAGTGACACTGTTTACGTTCGCGTACAGTATTTACACAAACAGTAGAAAAGAAATGTGACCGTACTATTCTGAGGCATTCCATATTATAAAGCAAAGTTCTCTAATCTCCTCTTTTTTTGCTGAGTTACAGAGGTGCAATTCTATATACTGTTTCAACATCAGGTGAGACTCAATAAATATTTCCATGCACCAGAAATAGAAAAAAGATATAGATTTCTTATTTCATAATTGATTAAGTTAAAGACGAGATTTATCATTTAAAAAATGTCGAGAAAAAAACACACCTTCCAGTTTTCATGAAATAAGAGGACGTAATGCAGTTGAGCTAATGCAATTGTTCGCCGTTAAATAATAAAGCCGACTTACTCAACCATTCAGGACAGTGCAGTGAAGTGATTAAATTCCCTCTCAAATTTCCACAAGAAGAAAAGAATGTAGCAAAGCATGGGGAACATGTTGCACTAGTCGGTGATTTCCTATTCCATCATGTTTAACAAGAAACCCCAGCGAGCAACACTGGCAGAGATTGGCGGACGATCGCAAGATTTGCCGGGCTAAAATTGGGCATACCTAGATTCGCGCCCCGAATCCCCACCAATACACTTCCAGGGGCATCTCGTGCGGCATTCACACGTGGAAATTCAGGACTGGGCCTCGTCCGGGTCTAGCTCGAAGTAAGTTTGCTTCATCTTCAAAGAAAACAACTTATGATTCAAGTTCTAAAGCAGTTTCCTAAATCAAGTATTTATAGGAACGCTCTGCTTGCTGCAATATGTAGTCGGCGATTTTCGAATCGTCCCCTTTCCCCTAACTCCACTAACTTTAGAGAAGACAGTGTGAACACAGCTTTCGCCCAGGAATCAGTTAACCTTGATTTACTTCGACAAAAATGTATCTTGCGGTTCCGAAGTGATTGGTTTGATAAATATAGCAACTTTTCTGTTTACAGGCATTCCGGCACTTTCCGAGGTCTTACGTTTTCTGACCTGCGAGTACTACGATCTTACTACGCTCAGCCGTCGGCAATGCCGTATCCTTTCATCTCTACCCCACAACGTTACGAAAAGTGACCGATGCTTTCTCAGTAAATCAAATTCTTACTACTCCTTACTTTGATTAATTAGAAATAGATTACCAGTTCAAGGCCTCGTATCATTTAACTGTAGCTGTTATCTTTGCGAGGAGCTATTCGTTTCATTATCTATTTGGGTAAAAACTCTTTGATCAGAAAAGTTGGTGAGATTTACTGAATGGTTAAAAAAAGGGAACCACTGGACTTTGCTTCTCTAAAAGCGGGAATACGTCCAGAAATATGTGGATCTCTAATTTTGGCATGGCCATTAGCTTAAGTAATGAAATCATACCAACTAAGTATTGCATAACCCGCAGATAACGGAGCATTGTTTTATATAAAAAGTACTTCTTTCTGTGTATTTTGCGTATTCAGAGATGAAGTCGATCAGATAAGAGCTGTAGTTTTAGAAATGAAAGTGGGGTCGATTTCAGTTTCTGAACATTATACACTTGCTTTGAACATCCTCTCCAGTTTTTAGCAAGACGGTAGCATTTTGTCTTTACAAGATGCTTTATTTTGTATTTGAGTGCCATAACAAAAAGGACCGTTAAAATCTGATTAAATGGAATTAGAAAATCTTATTATATGAATTATGTTAAGACTTTCGGCTGTCTTAACTAGTTAACATAAAGCCACCTAGATATAACACTGACGGGGCGTGAACTTATAATAGAATCATGCTTAATTTTATAGACGTTTATCTGAGCCGTTTTACAGTTCACGAAGATATGAACTACTTAAAACGGCATCGTGAATTTCAGTTAACATTAATATTTTACCCCGCTTCTTCTTTGCCATCACCATCTTTGGCTAGGAATTGGAAGAGAAACACAGGTTGTAGATTTTGAAACTAAATCACGGATTTGGATACGCGGCACCCTGAGGTTTAGTGATTAAGCGTGTTTCAGTGCGTTCTCTTCAACTTCATGGTCTGACTTAACTACGTAGATTTGCGCGAGAAGGCTGTTTGAGACTGCATGAGTTCTAATGTAGCTAACGCACTGCTAAGACATCCTTGTTTGCGTTGTGAATTATATTATATTTGTGATGCCGTATACATAATAGATCTGAGATATATTTTCAAAATCGAGAAAGCTTTATTCTATCAGGGTTCTATCAGTGGCATTCAGGGTGCCACAAGTAGCCGTCACTTTTAATTTGTTTACGGGCAACAAAACAGTTTAACAGGCATGTTGCATGTAATTTGTAGTAGCAAGCTCCTTTATGCTGGGCTCGGTCGTAAGAGGAGATGAAAATTGAAATAAAAGTCACTGTGCTCGGAAACGAACTATATAAGTTATTTCATCTGCTTGGGCACCATTGATAAACTTTGTTATAGCCTCCCACGTGGTGAGTAGCTACAAGGTTCTACTATACAGGAATGCGTGTCTGGACCAAGTACTGGCTGCCATAAAGTTTTCATAGAGGACCAGCTTCGCCATAATTCGGTGAATGGAAGAATCAACAAACTTACCCTCCCTGAACAACACAATTAGGTAACTGCCAAGTGTCTACAACTTTCACTTCTCACTTTTTTATGATTTACTTTGAACACTGACACACTGGGCCTACCACCATCTTATTATTTCAAAACAGATATAATATCCAAAACCTTATTAAATATTTGGATAAAGAAATATGCAAAGAATTCACGTGGTCTGTATCAGTTTTGGCATCACTATGTCGAAAACAATCGATCAAAATGTTCATATAATTTACTCCTAATATACATCAAGGTAGCAATTAACTGACTACGGCTGTGTTATTGAAATTCTATCATTCCATGTAGAAATTAACTCATTGAATTGTCGTTTGTAGTTTTGGAGTAATAATCCGAGCATCTTGAGATTATGTGTATAAACAAACAAACATTTTTAGAGTACTTCCACATTTCAGTTTTACTTTTTGTTATCGAAGAGGATCCGTAAATGTAACAACAACTTATTGATTTCTCCCATCTTGGGTTCAGCTATGTGGGGTCCCAGACCGCTTCACCCAGATTTGGCGCTTGGTTCATAAATGAGCCCAAAATTAGACTTAACTAGTCCAAACTTTGACCCAAGATAATCAGTACATGTATATCATAACTTCTAGTCTTTCAGTTCCTTGAATAAGGAAAACACTGGTCTGCTTAGGCAGCGGCTATTTTTTTATATAAAAAAAAAACAGCGAAAGGGAGAACTCCTTGATGTCCTCTATCTGCCAGTGTAAATGGTATTAACACGAGGAGACATCTATGAATAGACCTTTATTGATATTTGCATGTATGCCTTTATCTAAAACTTCAATAAAATAGTGGAACGACTTATAAGCACTTGTGTGTCACCTAAATAAAGGTAGAATACCCGATGTTGACGACTATCGTGCAGTGTTTGGGAGAATCTGGGAGCCACAATGGGCATATTGCAAGCCAGGTGAGAACTAATTGGTAAAATTTTGGCTCTTGGTTAAATCATATACGTGCTTTTTAACTTGATGTTTATTGACATCACACGTTTGAAGCTTCCTGTTGAATCCTAAGCACCAACAATTGCCACTAATAGCTCGAGGATACGCATCCGCCTTTCAAAGTTTTCCCTTCTACCTCTTTTAAATTACTTTGAAGAGTCCGGCGATAAAAAGAGGCTTCTGACACCGAACACGTTCCTGAGATCAAAGAGTTCATCCTCGGCGTGTGACGGCCTCGGGCACAACATTTAGCGTTCCTTAGACAGTAAATCGCTTTTTTCATCGGTGACACGACAAAGTTAAAGAAATACCGGTATGATGTAATAGCAGTAAGTCCTCCTTGTTACTTTCTTCCTCTACAAATTAGTGATGATCCTATACGTCCAATGAAATAACACGTGGAGGATTTGGTGTGTGTGTGTGTGTGTGTGTGTGTGTGTGTGTGTGTGTGTGTGAATGAGTGCCCAC